TTCCACTCCTGGGGATCTACCCAAAGGATAGGAAAACACTCAGTCAGAAAAACATTGCACATCCATGTTTATTGCAACATTATTCACAATTGCTAAGACATGGAATCAACCCAAATGTCCAAGAAATTGGATATGAATTGGAAAAATTGTGGCACATGTATTCTATGAAATACTACTCAGCCATAAAAAAACGAGAACGTGACATTTGATAGAAAGTGGATGGGTATGGACGATGTGGTGCTAAGTGAAGTCAGCCATGCTAGGGAAAAAGAGGCATTGTATGTCCCCACTTAATATATACCAGATGTCTGCACTTACAGCAGAAAGAAAGAGAGAGAGCGTTGGGAAAGCATAAAAGTAGAGCATCTGAAGATGCTAGAAACAGTGTGGGAGGAGGGTGGACAAAGGGGGAGGGAGGGAGGAAATCAAAGGGGGAAAAGAACATTTAATGGACACAAAATGGAAAATTACTTGTTGATGATAATGTGTATGGTAATATCTTTGACTGGACTAATATGCAGTATACTCATGCCCAGAAAGTCCACTTTGTATGCTATAATGATGTACAGTAATTAAATGTCAATTAAAAAGACTTTTTAAATAAAAAAGGGAAAAATTTAATATATAAATATACTTTTTATCTCACGTAGATATTAAATAGAAACTTTTAAAAGTAAGTTATGCCTATATTATTTGAGTTCTGTGAATATATGTGTATTATGTACATAAATAAGTATTTGGAGAATTCATAGATAATGCAATTTCAATATAGTGAGTTATGGATGGCATTAATTTAGCAAAGTATAAAGCCAAGTTTTTCCTTTTAATGGACATTATTTATGATCAGACAGACACGAGCTTAAATTCTGAGTATGTAACTTAACATATGTGTGATTCTGGACAAGTTATTAACCCTGCATCTGATCCCCAGTATTTCTCACATGTAATATGGTACCAGTAACATGTATTTTGCAAAATATTAATTAAGATGAAATGATATATTAATGTGCTTCACATCATTTCTGCCACTTAAAAAATATTTGAGGCTGGCAGGTGGCGTGGTGGGTAGGACGGCGGACTCCCCCCTGGGCAACTGTTTGAGTCTCAGACCTGGTGATGTGCATTTCTCACTTTCCCTCTCACACTCTGGCTATCCATGGTCAAATTTAAAAATATAAATAAATAAATAATACATTAAATACATCTTTAAAAACCCACAATTGTTCTGTTTGCCCGTAGAGTTATTTAGATCAACGGTTATTTTGCTAGTGAAGGCCTGTAAAGGTTGCTCACGGGGCAGAATCGGGACCAAGGGGTGAAGACTTCCGGAAGGCAGTCTCCAGCTCAGCACCACCAGTAGAGCCATACCCCACTCCTGCTAGGAGTCTGAAGGTAGAGGATGTTGCACAAGGTGGGAGCTGGATCTCCGGAGTCTGACTCGGGAGGCGGAAGGCCCAGCCCTGTAGTCCAGTGGGTAAGCGCTGTGCATTGGAAGCCAGCTCCCACATGGCCAACTGTAGTTCAAATCCCAGCCTGGACAGCTTGAGAAACATGCCAGACACACATATGTACATGCCCCGAGTCCTGATGGGCAGGGAAAATGGAGAAAGATGACAGCGTGACTGTGTCCCGTTGGAGGGTGCTTTCTCTCTCCTGCTCTCTCTGGCGAGTGCCCACCCTTTGGCAATTAAGAAAGAAGAAATAAAGATTGCTCTGGTAGGGGAGTACAGAAAGCAGTCAAAACTGGAATTCTCCTAGGAGCTGACGGCCCAGTGTCTTTGCGCTCGGACAGACCAAATGTGGGCAAACCGTCTTCAGGGATTTGTAGTGTTTTTGAGCCCGGCCTTCAGTGTGGAGCCTGTTCTGAGGCCAGTGCTGTGTCAGACTGAGTTTAGGGTGCGCTCAGCACCGTGCCTGGCCCTACAGGCATTCTTCAGGGAATGAGTAAGGAACATGTTACTGCTAAGCCCTGAGTTATTATTCTAGTTCTTTATCCAGTCCAGACTTCATTTTCCAAGGGCCATCTTTCTGCTGAGAGTATGTACTGACACGTACATGTGTGCATACGTGGGTGTCATTTTTTTCTTGGAGGGAGTAGCAAGAGCCGTGTTGCTGTGGTCCTAGTGCCAACATGAGTGAGCACTGATCAGGAGGAGAGGGCCGCAGAGGCGGAAGCCATCGAACAGCTGTGTGTCTGCAAGTAAAACACCTTTGAGGCTGCGAAGGGAAAAAATGGCCTCTATTGTTGACATGAAGGACACGAGAGTTGGGGGACGGGGACACGGCTCTGAAGGGGGTGGCTGTGTGGTCCTTTCCACCGCAGCTCGGGCTCCGAGGCCAGCACAGCCGGGGACCGCACTCCCAATGGAGCCAGTGAAGCTGGCAAGGTGACTCCGTAGCGTGGGTGTCCTTTCTCTCTGGCACGTTGGCCAGGGGGTGGCTTCTGCTCGAGGCTTTTGATACAATGTGAACACTGAGGTCGAAGAGCACTCCAAGTCCTCTTGATCTCCAGCTGTGATAGTTGCATCACTTTTTCCATCTCCAAGTCTCGTGAGAGGGTGATGCTGAGGCAGTGGGCTACTTGGAGTGTTGCCTGAATGACTAGGCCTGTTTGTTGTCTAACCGCCCCATTTTCCTTTCTGGGTGGTGCCATCTCTGGGTTGTTCCTTAGGTTTCTTTATTGGGTTGGTGTCATGGTGACCATGACAAGGATCAGATGAGAGTGCAAAGGGAGGGGCCGCCAGCCACCAGCATGTTCTCTGTGAGATTTATCATTCATTGCGGAACTGTATGGGGGGAATGTTGGTGTCCTGGACCAAAAGCAGGGGAGGAAAGAAAAAGATTAAGACCAGCTCCTACTGGTGAGCGGACTCATTTACCAGCAGCTCTGTGGATGCGCACGCAAACTTTCTTCTGGTCTGGAATTAGACTTAGGGTTGTTGATAGTTGGCCTCCTCCCCACACACTCTCCAGTGTAAGGTTATTTATTGTCATCCCATTCCTTATACCCAGGATGAGTGAGCGAGTACATTGTATTCTCCTGTCTACTTACTAAGAAATGCTGCTCACTTGGGGCCAGCAGGTGGCATGGTGGTTAAAGTGCTGGACTCCCAGATGACCAACTCTTGTTTGAATCCCAGATCTGGTGGCTTGAAAATCATGCAGGGAACATATGTGTGGGTGTGCACCCCAAATCCCAGGAGAAGACCTCTCACGGTCTCTCTCTGTCTCCCTCTGGGGAACACACCCACCCTATAGTAAAACAAAACAAAAACCGAAAAAAAAAAATGCTACCAATGAACTTGTTCTAATTTTTTCCCACCCAGAAAGAAGATCTTCAGATATATTTCAAATACCATGAGAACCTGCCCCGAGCTAAGGCGATCTGGGAAGAGTGTCAAGACTGTGCCTACTTTGGGGTAACGTCGAGATTACCAGCTCTCTCAAAATTATTCCCCATGAAATATTTTAAGCAATCCGAAGTATGAACAAGGCACAGGTATTTGGCACAGGGCTCACGCTTACTACAAGTCTCCCACACTGTGAGATTATGCAGAAGCTTCGCTGCCCCCCTCAGCCTCTCCGGAACAGGCCCGTGCCGAGCGGCCAGTCTGGTGAGCAGCCTGAGATCTTCTAGTATGAAGCTTTAAAATGAAACTAAGTAAAATCTGTGACACTTTGGGGGCTCCCCAAATGTGTTCTGTACCCACCAGACTCAAAATGACCTGGATAAACCTTGCCTTGCCCAGCTTGAAGACAGCCTGCCCCCTTTTCAGGGACTTGAGGTGTCCCATTGCCTTCCAGGGGACTTCCTGCCTAAGAGGGAGAGGTGGCTCTGCTCCCCTAGCTGCTATGACAATGCACTCAAACCACCCCCCTCCTCTCTCCCATTCCACACACTGCCCCTGAGAGACCGAGCTGTACCCAGTCGGTACAGCTGCCCGCGGCCGGGCAGGGCCCCTCTGCTTCTTGGGTCTAAATGCCGCCATTTTTGTTCTCTCTGTGCCTTGTCTGTTGGTATTGTCTTGTGTGGTTTCTGTTTGGCTTTTAAAGGTGTGCCAACGCCAACTGGATCACAGCCTTCCTCTTTTCAAGTACCTCAGAAGACCGAGCCAGAGACTCAGAAAATACCAGACGCTGCTGAAGGTACAGGCGATGAGGCAGTGCTTTCCCGCGTGGGCGAGCAGGTGCCTCTGCACCACGGTGTGCTTCTCCTAGGCGTGTGGACTTGGGGCGAGGTCCTCCAAGGCTGAAGCCAGGTCCGTCCTTCGGGCTTTCTCCTTCCTCCGACTCCGTCAGCCCTGCTGCATGAACAGTAAGACCAAGGGTCACAGAGTTGAAGAGGCCCTTGAAGCCGGGCTCCTCCCAGCATCTACCCAGCATGTGACTCACTAAGGGGCCTGGCATGGGGAGAGAGAGATCTTTGGGAGCAACGGGCCATCTTTGGCAGCTGAGAATGGGAGGGAGACGGCCATTCCTGTGCTCTCAGACATACAGGAGACCTGCTCCATTTTACAGATGGAGCGAGGTGCCCGGAGTAGAGATGTGGTTTACCCCCAGTTCCAATGTCCTGGGCACTAAAACAATGGGAGGGGAAGGACACAATTGCAGTCTTCTCTCTCTCTGCAACCAGGACCTCCACGCTTACAATTTAGGGTCTGCCTCGGAGCAGCGCTTTGCCGTGGACACGTAGGTGCCCCTAGCTCTCGCTCTGCCTCTGCTCCGTACTCCTCCTGAGTGGTGAGGCCCCAGCTCACCTGCAGGCAGGCTCTCCCCAACACCTCAGTAGGACAGGCGATGTCCCCCATGTGAGCCTGAGGGAAAGGGCCACTCTCACAAGTTGTCTTTTTCTATTAACCCATAAAGGCATTCTTTATAAGGTAGCTCTTGCATAGTGGCTATCATCTCTTTTTATAAAAAAAAGAACTAAGCGAAAAAATGAGCATCTGTTGTTCATCGGACACTTTCCCGTATGTATTTTTCATTTCCTCACCCCCAGGTGGGCATGCCAGCAAATATGCCCGAAAGCTCTCAACATTTACAATTCCATTTCTAGGAATAAATGCACGGCAACTATTCCAATTATAATTTTAAACATTGTTGAATCTAAATGTTTAACAGTAGGGGAAACTATAATTTACAATCATCACTCAGTTATGTTTTATCTGCAAGATGCAACACTCTGCCACAATTGAAACCCGTATCTTAGAAACACTTCACACTTTGGGAAATGGTCTTGATCCATTGCTGAGTGAGAACAAGCAGGCTACACAGCAGTGTGTACAAAGCGATTCTGTGTTCAGATGGACACACGTTCCCTGTCGGCTTACTGCTGGCCACAGGTGGTTTACAGAGTGGATTTCATTGGCAACCTACTTTTTGATTTTTAACAAGAATTTTGGATTAATGCAGAGTCTGCTGGATCTAGAGCCTGCTGAAGATTTGGAGATAGACACGGGTGACTTGGATGGAAGCCACACTGAGGTAATAGTACATGCCGTGTCTCCTGTACCTCAGTGTTAATGCTGACTGCCTGTGGGTGGGAGGGGTTATGCCAATTTTATTTTCCTCGTTTACGATTTTAATTGTCTACCTTTTCTAAAATCGTATGTGTAATTTATAATGCGTGGTCAGAAAAAAATTAAAGGCCATTTTGAAGCAGGAATTTGCAGCCCAGTGGGAAGCGATTACCCTGTAGGTTCTCCTTATCTGCTGGTTCAGTTTCCCCACTTGGAAATTCCAGAAACCAGCAATTCATAAATGTTGGGGTTTTGTTTGTTTGTTTAGATTTTTGCCATAGGGCGTGTATACTTCCTGGAGAGAGACAGAGAGAGACAAAAGACGAAAGCGAGAAATCACCCCCCAGGAAGGATGTCCACGCCACAATCTGTTCTCCTCCGTCCTCCTCCTGGGATCCGGGCACGCACATACACTCGCCAGCATGGGAAGACCGCATGTGGGATCCAGCTCCTTAACCATCACGCCACCTGCTGGCCCCAGCAATTCCTGTCTCCCGTTGTGTGCCCTCCGAGTTGCACATGAACTCTCCTGCCATCCTGCTGCTTGCCAAGGGCGTGACCCTCCTGTCGTCCAGGCACCCACACTGCACAGGCCGAGGGCCCACTGGCTCCTGAGTAGCCGTCTAGGTGCTCAGATCAAAGAAACAGGGCACGCCCCGGGTTTAGTCCTATCCCAGTTTCAGGCGTCCCCCAGAGTTCTTGAAACCGATCCCACGTGGGTAAGAGGGAACAACTATATATTTTCTTCCTTCCACATTAGAAAACGAACAAACAAACAAAAAAAACCCTTTTTAATAGCAATTTCAAATTAAGTGAATATGTAACGTGCTCAACAAAAGATGGTTTGCAGATATAAACATCTCCGCTGCCGTTCTTACGTGGCAGGAGCGTGTGTAATCTGCGTCTCCTCTGTGCGTCTTTCTGTATCTGATGTGGACCTCATGCCTTATTCCCCTCTGTGTGTGCACACGTGTGTGTGTGCGTGCACGCGAATTCTGAGAGAGACTGACAGACATGGCTCTCTGGGGGAGTGGTAGCCGTGCCAGATTAGGACAGAATTTGTGGCTCTGTGGTAAGGCCCCCTCCACAGTGTCCTATAGAATATGCTGCCTTGGATAAGAAAATCTTGAGGTTTGTTCCTCAAGGAGCAGTCATTTGCATGCCTTCACTGCTCAAAATGTGTGATGAGGTCCCTCTGAAAGTAGAAAATGAAAGCACAGAGAACGGCGTTCTAGCCCGGAGCAAGGGGAGCCAGCCTAGGTGGAGGGGTTCCGTGTGTGAGAACTCTTCTGAACTCCACTTTATGCTATGCAGTGTCAGCAGCGGCTGGTGGGGAGGGCGAGAGGAGCAGGGGCGTCTCTAAGAGGAAGCCGAGTGTGGGAGTTGGGTGAGGAGGAAGGTGACTGGTAGGAACCCCTAACCTCTTACTGAGGCACATCTGCTCCGTGAGAAGCAGGCCCCTGGCGCCTGCTCAGTGCAGGCAGCGGGGTCCGTCCTGTCCAGCCCTGCCACTCACGTCTCTGACCCAGAGGCTGGACAGGGACTAAGAAAATACACAACCCTTTGACTGCATCATGCTTTGGAGGACAGAAAGTGGCCGGGCCAGACATGCAGCAGCTAAGGACTGTTTGTTCTTTGTTGTAGAAACCGAAGTGTTGAACAAAACCACACGGAAGGAATCAGAATCTTTTTCTTTGCATTTACCGGGTAGCAGATATGTCAGAGAGGTAGTAGAGAAGCAAATGCCAAAACTCCAAGTAGAAGCCACTGCCCTCGTGGCCTGTGTCACTTAGTGGCCCCTGGACCACTGTCCTCCCTAAAAGGCAGCCACTGCTTTTCCGCCTCACGCTGAGTCTACGTGTGGGGTAGACCGCACTGGCCATCTCTTGGGGCAGCAGGACGTGAGGAAGGCTGGGAGAGGGCAGGGAGGGAGGAAGTAGCTTGAGAACAGGCAAATGCTGTGGGTTCACCCTGAAGGCTCTGTGTACCAAACCACTGGTAACCCTTCACACGGCAGCTCTTTCTTGCCTCTACAGGAGTTTGCAACTACCCTCCTCTGGAATCGCTTCAAGCGTAATCTTATCCATAGCAGTAAGACTTCCACATTAAATATAAGAATATGATCCTCAGACCGTAGTTTTCAGTAAGTCCCAGGGTAAGGCTGTAAAAGAGGAAACACCTATTTAAAGGGATAAGACTGTTTTCATGTTTGTTTTCCTTTTTTTTTTTTTTTTAATTAGTGTTGCTCTAGGGCATGTGAGCTAGCCAGGGAGAGAGAAGAAAAGCAAGAAATTACCCCCGAGGGGTATGCCCACTCCGCAATCCCTTCTCCATTCTCCCCTCAGGACTTTGGGCGTACACACACACACACACACACACACACACACACAAACATACACACCTGGTTTGATTTTTTTTTTTGGGGGGGGGAAGGTTTTTGCTATAGGGCATGTGCGCTTGCCAGACAGAGAGAGACAGCAAGACAAAAAACGAGAAATCACCCCCCAGGAGGGATGGCCACGCTGCAATCCCTTCTCCTCCATTCTCCTCTCAGGATCTTGGGCATGCACGCACACGCGCCTGGTGTGAGTTTAGGCCACTGGGTCCAGGACTCGAACCGCGGTCAGCTACGAGGTGACATAGCCATTACGCTAACTGCTGATCCCGACCTGGTTTGATTTTTAAGCCAGAATTCGAACCACAGGCTAGTCCATGTGGGGTCCAGTGCCTTAACCTCCACACCACCTGCTGGCCTCTCTTTTCATGTTTGTTTTTTTTTTAAAAAAAGACTCTGGGGTCAGCACATGGCATAATGGTTACGTCCCTGGACTCCCACATGGCTGACTACGGTTTGAGTCCCAGACCCGGTGGCTTGGAACTCACACTGGGCATATGTGCATACGTGCCCAAAATCCCAAGATGAGAATACAGGAGAAGGGATTGCAGCATGGCCACCTCCACCAGGACATAGTGATTTCTTGCTTTCTGTCTCTCTGTCTCTCACAGTCTCTCTGGTGAGCTCATGCACCGTATAGCAAAAATCTCTCTTTAAAAAATAAAAGACTTCGGTATGTTTCTCTTAGAGCAGGGGTAGCATGTCCACGGTTCCAGGAGCTTCGTTCCTCAGTAGTACGTTACAGAAAGGTTAGCAGCTAGTCTTGCTTGTCTGGTGGCCCCGTCACCTACTGTCCTCTGAGTGCTGAGAGCAGCCATTGCACCCACCTTCTCAGTCAGTGCTGCTGCTCGTGGCTCCTTATTCCTCCCCTGTTTTACTTCACCACTTGGTCGATGGGAGGTCAGTTCTTTATTTCCTTAATTTCGTTATTTTGCCAGAGGGCGTGTGCACTCACCAGAGAGAGAGAGGGACAGTGAGAAAGCACGCCCCCCAGGGCATTGTCATCCCGTCCCTTCTCCCCCCTTCTCCCTCTTTGGGATCTTGGGCATGGATGCACACACACCTGGAGTGTTTGTCGAGACGCTGGTCATGGCACCCAAACCGCGTGGTGGCCACGTGAGCCCCAGCTGCCTTAGCCACCAAGCCACGGCTGGCCTTATTCTCGATGTTCAACAACGCATTTATGTTTTCCCACAGAATGGGCCAAAGAGGACCAAGGACTCCGCATTTTCAGCTGAGCTACAGCGAGCCCTGGAGGTGGTAGAGGCTCTGATCCAGTCCTGCGAGTTGGCGCTGGGCCTCGCCGCGGTCGCCGGGTGTCCGGTATGTTCCACACACACTGCCGAGGTAGGAGACACTGGCAAATACAGGCACCTGATCTGAGGAGTGCGCCGACCAGGAAAGTTACTTAGCCAGCCACTCTGGGCTTCGAGATTCCAGGTGTTCCACTGTGCTTCCAGAGCATCTTGGCTTGGCCAACAGAGGTCACAGTTCCGTAGCAGTTACGTCACCCGACTCCCATGTGGTTGCTGTAGTTCGGCTTCCAGAGCATTTTGGCTTGGCCAACAGAGGTCACAGTTACGTAGCAGTTATGTCACCCGACTCCCATGTGGTTGCTGTAGTTCGACTCCTGGATCCAATGGTTGAAAATCATGCTATGCACATGTGCGTGCGTGCCCAAGATTCTGGCAGGAGAGTTGAGGAGAAGGGATTGCAACATGGCTATCCCCCCGGAGGTAATTTCTCACTTTCTCTCTCACGGTCTCTCTTTCTCTCTCTGGTGAGCACATGCACCCTAAGGTGAAAACCTCTAAAAAACAATCTTGGCTTCTATTCCTCAGGGCCCTGAATGTTGGCACTGACCCTCACTCCAGACCAACCTGAAACTGAGGGCCAGAATGTGCACGGGCAGGGGTTCCGGGGTCCAGGCCGGAGGAGCAGTTTATTTTCTAACTCATGGCACTATTAAAACTGCAGAAGATGGCCCTTCTTACTTCAGAGTTCTCTGTGAGAAGTATTTTTTTAAGAATGATTTTTTATTTATTTGTTTGTTTGTTTATTTAAATCTGACCAGAGAGGGACAGAGTGAGTAAGAGAGAGAAAGCAAGCCGCCAGATCCAGGACTCGAACCGCAGTCGGCCATGTGGGAGTCCAGTGCCCTTAACCACCATGCCACCCGCCGGCCTCCTGTGAGGAGTATTTTGAAAATGGACTGTAAATGAGAATCTTGGCTCGTTTTATATCACAGATACAAGAAGCCCAGCAAGTACTGAAGTTGTACGCCCTTCAGTCTAAACGCATGACAGAAACCCAGCAGTTTCCTGTGGGTGGGCTGGGGCGCTGAGCTGTGGCACCTCGCGTCCACACCCCCCGGAGCAGCCAGGCCCAGCCATCCCAGGCACGGCACTGCTGTAGCTCTGTGGCATCGCCAGAAATGGGACACGGTTAACAGGCTCTGTGTCTCACTTTTGTGTCTGTCTTCTATCACTGTCATAATGGACGACCCCAGACTTGGTGGCTTGGACAGCCCAGATGTATTCTGTCACAGCTCAGGGTTACAGTTAAGGAGACTGAGAGCCGGTGTATTCCCCGAGTTCTGCCTCACAAGGGCCGCCACACGCCTTGTCATGCCCCCTCCTCCAGGTGTAGAGCCGACCGCAGGCCGAGCTCTCCCATCACACCATGTGGCCCTTTGCTTCTGCCTCTCTGCCACTCGTAAGGACTCTTGTGATGGAAAAGAGCCACCAGCTAATCCAAGATAATGTCACCATCCTGAAGCCCGCTGACTGACAATCGCAACTCCATCTGCAGCCGTAACTCCCCTTTACCTTGTAACCTGACATGATTTCAGATTATGGGGATTAGAAGGTGGGCACCTTTGGGAGGCCATTATTTTGCCCACCACAGAATTTAAACATTTTGAGCATTACATTTCGGTTAGTTTCTCCTCTTTTTTTTCCTTCATTTTTACCTGGTTCTCAGCATACTATTTATTTAGATCTTACCAGATGAAATTACCTTTCTTTTTTCATCATAAATCAAATGACGCAGGACCAGCAGTTGGCGTAATGGCTATGTCGCTGGACTCCCACGTAGTCGACCGCGGTTCGAGTCCTGGACCCGGTGGCTTAAACTCACGCCGGGCTCGTGTGTGTGCGTGCCCAAGATCCCGAGAGGAAAATGAAGGAGAAGGGATTGTGGCATGACCATCCCCCCTGGGGGTGATTTCTCTCTTTCTATCTCTGTGTCTCTCTCTGTCTTTCTGGCATACACACGTGCCCTGTAGCATAAACCTCTCCAAAAAAAAAAAAAAAATCAAACGACGCAAATTAATTGGGGGCAAACAAACAAGCAAACAAATGAAAAATGCAGTCTCTTTACCTCCCCCCATCATGGAGCTTCTCTGCCCAGCACCTCAGAAATCTGTCCCACGGTGCTCTCCACTCACAGCTGCCCTCTGAGACCTGTCCACTCCCCTGAATTAATGTCCTGGAGTGACGCAGAGCAGAGCACCCCCAGCTGTTATTCCCAGTGGAGGAGGGAGTTGTACAGAAAGGACTATTAAACGTAAGGAGATCGCCATCGGCCTTAATTCCATTTTAAGTCGATTTGTGTGCAAACAAGATGAGTCAATTTATAGAACTTCAGAGACAATTCATTAAAGGATGTATGTGTTTTAAAAAATTCTTTTTTAAATTTTATTTATTATTATTATTTTAATTTGTCATAGGATACATGTGCTCACCGGAGACAGAGAAAGGAAGAGAAGGAAAGTGAGATTTCAAGCCACCAGGTCCAGAACGTGAACCGTAGTCGGCCACGTGGGAGTCCAGTACTTAACCTCCACGCCGCCTGCCGGCCCAGATATATGTATTTTTATTCCTAGTTCAAGTCCTGCCTTCTTTACATGGTTTTGGCTTTAAGACAAGGCTGAGTAAATGGCCTCAGTGACTGAAATCGCATCGCACATCGTTTTACCCCGGGACCCCTGCGTCACAGGGCGGCTGCCCCGAGTCCGTGAGGGTCCAGCCCTGGGAGGTGCGACTACACAGCCCCAGTGCTGAGTGCTGGGGACCTGCCGCCGGAGAGGGAGCCACTTCTTTGCTCCCGGCTCCCGTCACCGTGGGCTCCCGTAGCCTGTGCTCTTCATCTCTGGACCAGACTGCGGATCCGCGCACCCAGTTTCCCGCTCCTCTGCAGGAGACGTGCACAGCTCTGTCACTGAGCCCTCCCCGCCGTGAAGGAAACCTGGCCATTCGCAGGAGGCCTCTTGATGGGGCAGATCCCCTAGGTTCACTGTCTCCACCAGATCGTTTGTTTGAGGTGGTCACATGTGAAGTTACATCAAAACGCCGTGCGTAAAAGGAGCAGGACTTCCTGACAGTGTTTTCCCGGGACTTCCCGTCTGGAGGCCGCCATTCGATTTATTTGCTCCCTCGTTTGAGGTAGCCCCTGCTCCATATCTGGGCTCGTGTCTGTCAGATTCTTCAACACACCGTGTGACGTAGCCGCTGGTGGGCGACAGCACCAGAAACTCGGCGACTTAAGACAACACACGTGTGGCGTCTCACTGTTCCAAAGGCCAGACGTCCAAAATCAGCCTGTCTGCAGGGCCACGCTCCCTCTGGGGGCTCACGGGAAGAAGCTCTCCTGGCCCTCCCTTGCCTTTTCCCTGCCCACATCCCTGCCGTTCCCCTTCCTTTCCTTTCTTTTTTTATTTTAGATTTTTGCCACAGGGCTCACAGGCTCACCAGAGACAGAAAGGGAAAGTGAGGACTCCCTCCCCACCTCGGGGGAATGGCCATGCCACTGTCCCATCTCCTCCACTCTCCTCTTGACGTTCTGGACGTGCATACACACACGCCCGGTGTGTTTCTCAAGTGGCCAGGTCTGCGGGGTTTGCCGTGTGGGGTCCAGCACCCTGGCCACCATGCCACCTCTGGCTCTCCCCTGCCCATTCAGAGCGTGGCCACTGTGGCCACCCACACATTCTAGCTTTTGGTGACGGCCAGCCACACTTGGAGTTCTGTGGCTGACAGCGCATCACTCCAGTGTCCGCTGGTCTTCCCTCTCTGCAAGGCTCGGAACCTGTCTTCTCTGTTTATAAGGAACCAGTCACTGGGCGAGGGCCCTGATCTGTGCGTCCTCCGAATCATGTCTGGGAGATCTGCTTTCCGGTGAGGTCACATTCCGGGGGTGCAGGGACATGAGTTCTTTGGGGATCCAGCCTAGGATGGGGACATCACTGAGTCAGCTCCTTGACCAAACCCAGCCTCCCTCGCAGTGCTGTTTGGTTTCATGCCCTCGACCTCCAGGCACCAGTGGGTGAATACTTCCTAGGACACAAGTGTCTGAAAGAGCCTGTGAAAGGCTGGCATGGCCTCTGACCTCGGGACCAGCCGCCCTCCAGATGGAATTGCCTGTCCTTGGTCCTGCTGCGGCAACCCCCACCTGCTTCCCCTGGAGGCAGAGAATCCTGCCCAGAGGCACACACGTGCCTGCGGCAGCAGTGTGTGTGTCTGTGTATGTGTGTGTGCATGTGCGTGTGCTCACATGCACCCTGCGTCAGCAGTGCATGGAAACCAGACCTTGCCCACGGGAGGCTGCACCTTGAGCGATGTCCAGCCCCACCATGAGCATGGCCGTGGGCACACTTATACAAGATGACCCAGGGGATACACGTGTGTCAACTGGCCCTGAAAGCCCAGTGATTTCCTGCCGTGACTGCCAGTGATGGCGGGCTTACTAGGAAAACCAACCCGCAGAGCCTCAGGAAGAGGCAGGGCAGCGGCCCAGACAGGCTCTCAGGGCTGGGGCCAGACAATTCCAGGACCCACGGCAGCTCTGAGGGCTCGGCCTGGAGAGGAGGTCGGGGTCCTTACCTGTGTGTGCCAGCTCCACCCACAAGGCAGTTCTCCCTTCCCTTCCTGCCCACGGGCCTGTCCCTTCCCTCCCTGCTCTCCTCTTTCTCATCGTCTCTGGTGACTCACCTTTTCCGCAGCTCCGCTCCCTTCCTATTTACCCACCTCCTCTGTCTCATAAAGTGGCTCCAGGCTGCGAGTCCTCCCGGCCCTGCCTCCTCAGGCTCCTTCAGCTCCGCCAGGGAGCACTCTGGCCACGAGGCATGTCTTTCCGCATGGAGGGCCCTGAGGTCAGCTGCTGGCCCTCCGGGGGTTCTCCTCCTTTGATCGATCGCCTACTGAGGGGCTGGTGGCGCCAGGGTGGAGTAAGAGAGAGAGCCTGGAGGTGGGAAAATACAAAACACTACTACCTGAGGTTGCCTCTTCAGCAGGCGTGTGGTCAAGGCTGTGTGCTCTTCAAAACCCTGCCAGAGGCTTGGCGGGTAGTGTAACTAACACTGCCCAGTCTCCTGCGGTCATCAGAGAGTGTACGCCCGCATTTGCACCCCTGCCTGTCATTGTGGATGTTTTCGACGTGCCTTTTTTTTTAAAGAAGTTTTTGTATAGGGCGCATGTGCTCGCCAGAAAGACAGAGAGAGACAGAGACAGAAAGCGAGAAATCACTCCCCAGGGGGGATGGCTATGCCGCAGTCCCTTCTCATCCATTCTCCTCTCGGGATCTTGGACATGCACGCACACACACGTGCCTGGTGTGAATTTAAGCCACCAGGTTCGGGACTCAAACTGCGGTCAACTACATGGGAGTCCAGCGACGTAACCATCATGCCATCTGCTGGTCCCTAAAGTGCTTTTTACAACTATGCTCTGAAGTGATGCCTCCATATTGACCAAATGTGTTCTTATGAGCACATTACTGAAAAATATATATATATATATATAATTTATAATTTTTTTTTTTACATTTGTCACAGGGTACATGCACTCATAGGGGAACAGGGGGGTGGGGAGTGAGAAAGCAAGCCCCCAGCTCCGGGACTCAAACCGCAGCTGGCCACGTGGGAGACTAGAGCCTTGACCAGCACCGCACCTGCTGACCCCGTGAGCACATTTCCCATGAGCGTTACCGACCGTGTCTGCGTCTGCCTGTTGTGTGACGTGGCTGAAGATGTCGCTCAACCTTCGACCCAGAGACCCTTTCTCCAACGGGAGAAACGCCTCTTATGTGGGTGACAGGAATTGCCATGCTCCTCCTGAACTGGTTTGTGTGCGTCTCTGGAGACTCGAATCCTGTAACCTACACGCTCCCCTCCGCCTCACCCACCGGAGGCCGGCGCTGTGTCTGCCGCAAGCTCACACGCCTTTATTGTATGGATTTTGCGTACAACCTCTTCATCTCCTTTTCTCATCTTCATTTTTTTCTCACCCTAATTTCCTTAGTTTTTGCCTGCTTATACTATATATATATATATATATATGCAAGATATATCAATTTTTTGAGAGGTTTTTGCTATGTGGCGCGTGCACTCGCCAGAAAGAGAGAGACAGAGAGACAGAAAGGGAGAAATCACCCCCCAGGGGGGATGGCCACGCTGCAATCCCTTCTCCTCCATTCTCCTCTCGGGATCTTGGGCATGCATGCACATGCGCCCGGTGTGATTTTAAGCCACCGGGTCTGGAACTCGAACCGCGGTCGACTACATGGGCATCTAGTGACATAGCCATTACGCTAACTGCTGGTCCCTATATCATTTTTTTCCCCAGGCTTTTGCCGTAGGGTGCCTGCGCTCACCTGGGAGTCAGAGAGAGAGGGAAAGTGAGAAATCACCCTGCCCCGGGAGTATGTGTGTCCTGGAGCTGAGCCGACTACCACATCTGTCTTACACTGCCCAGTCACTCCGAGAAACGCCAAGTTCAACGCAGTGAGCTCCCGTTTCACAGCTGTGAAGAGACTAAGCCACACCGCGATTTCTTTTTTCAGAACAGACCTTATGCCCTCAGGTTCGGGATGCCAGTGGAACTCGTGGATTATCATAGGTCCACAATGTAGGAGAAACTCTTTCTCTCTTTTTTTTTTTTTTTACACTGCCCAGTCACTCCGAGAAACGCCAAGTTCAACGCAGTGAGCTCCCGTTTCACAGCTGTGAAGAGACTAAGCCACACCGCGATTTCTTTTTTCAGAACAGACCTTATGCCCTCAGGTTCGGGATGCCAGTGGAACTCGTGGATTATCATAGGTCCACAATGTAGGAGAAACTCTTTCTCTCTTTTTTTTTTTTTTTAAATTTATTCATTCTCTACATTAATTCACTATGCACCATCACAACACACAAATGAATTTTCCATCCAAAATA